TTGTCTTTTCGTGGTTCCTCAGGCCTAGGTATATCATCAGGGTCTATATTATTATTTTCGTCATTTTGAGGTGGGTTTGGTCTTTCTCTTTCCTCTCGTTGTCTCTGTTCCCTTTCTCGTGCCTCCGCTTCTGCTTGTTCTCCTGCGTAATCACGATTAAAACTGCCTTCTCCTCTATTTTGATTAGAAGGCGGAACTTCTCCTTCTCTACCTCTCAATAATTCCTCCGCTAACCGAGTAAAAAATTTCATCTGAATATTATCTCAACCCGAGCCTTCGGGTCTATTAGGGTCAGGTCCACCAAAAATGTCATTAAACATTTGCCTTGCTCTTTCCTCACCAAAATTGCGATTTAATTGCTCCCTACAACTCCTTAAATATTCCGTTCAATCATCAGAGGTGAAACTATAACTATCACCGCCACGACCTCACCTTCCAATTTCTTGCTCTATGGTTGCCAAAATTTCCCGCACCACACAAATCAGACTATAATACTCTTTCACGGCTTCCAACCTAGGTGAAGGCTCACGACCATCTGAATAATTAAGACCCGCACGACCTAACACACAAAAATCACAGGAGGTATATAAACCTAATCTCATTCCTTGAACTCACATTTTATACATGTCCGCACTGAAAAAATTACGGGTGCGACCCAAGTGTTCAGCAAAATGGTCAAAGGCTCCAAACATCATATCGTTATAATATCTAAAATTACGAAATAAGGTTCTTGCTCTACCCGAGGCTCCAGACTGACTACCTTCAAAATAGGGTTCAATTTTGGTGATAGCATTTTGGAGATTTTGCCGAGAACCAGGATTGAAAAACATTTCCATCAACTTTTTTTTAACTTCATTACTGCGTTCTTTTTGACCGCTTTCACCACTACCTGAATTGACATAAATTTCTACATTTTTGGCTAGGCTTTCGTAAAAATTGCCCCCTAAAACATTGAAACAACTTTTTAAAAGGTCGTTAACATGATAGCGTTGGTTTCTTTCAATTCTTTCAAAATCTTGTTGACTTAATCTAGGGGTTGGCATATTTTTTTATTTCTTATTAGACAATAGGCGGTGTTAAATCTTTGTTCTGCCCTTGGTATGAGTAAAAGAGGTTCGCAATACCAAGAATAAACCAAAGGCAGAAAAAAAATTAATAGTTTGAATAGACCCTTAATTACCAGGGTGAAAAAGGTTATCAATTAGACAATAGGGGAGATTGGGATTTTCCCTTTAACTAAAACGCCTTCATAATTTAACAGCAAAACGACATTAGCAGTCTTATTTACTTTGTTATCTTATTTCGGCTCCATTTAGGCATAACCTCGCCTCTACGAGGCTCTATCCTTACGATTATAAAGAATGAGACAGAGGACTATTTATAGGACTTTTGCTTTATTTTAACGCATTATTTTTTAATTTGCTATTTAGACTACATGATTTTAATTTTGTTGCTAAAAATAAGGTTTTTACTTAATAATAGGATATTTTTGTTGTTCTGACTATTTAAATATCATCCAATCAAAAAACACTGTTATAATTATCATAATCGTAAATGTGAGGTAAAATTTCTTATCTCTTTTTTTTGTAGTTGAGAAAATATATATGAGGCCTAAAATTTGGCCTACAATAAAAGCAAACGGGTTTAATTTCATTATTTTTTTTCTTTTTTAAGGCTCGCCGTTTCACGGCTCCCATTGGTA